TATTTAATTCGGTAGTTCTTTCCAACAAACATAATGTAGTTTTATTTTACGTGTTGTGGAAATAAAGGGGCCAAATAAGAAGTAAAACACATTTAAAATCTCGCCTCCAATACCAAATGAGATTCGAGAATTCATTAATGCATAATATTAATCATTCACGATTAATTCTTGAGCGCTTGTGCGATAAATTGTCACAATCTGTTTAACAGGGACAATTAAAAAGTATGAGCGTAGGTCGATTAATCAAGTGGAATTTTATAAGTCGACTTAAATAGGTTTTTATGCGTGTCACCCGCGCGCCTAGCCACAAAAAACTTTTTATTTTATTATACGGTTGACTGATAATATCACGTGATAGGTCAATCGTTGACTTTAATCCATCAAATAGTGATGTCGATGACCCACTCAATCACCTTTCATCATAATTTTTTTGTATTACGCATTATGGGAATTGGGTCTATAGGAAATCTGGAATATTTACTTTTGAAGGAAGTGCGGTAGAAAAATTATTGAAATTTATTAGACATCCATATCTTTTTTTTTTATTTGTGGAACAACACGTTTCACCACTAATTAAATTGAACATTTTTTAACTGAAAAAAGGTTCGATAAAGACTAATTACTTCATGACTTGATCACAGTTATGCAAGGATTATGCGTAACCTCATTTTGCCTCAAAACGGTAGTCAGTGATTTCTGTATAGCTTATAATTGGAACGTGAATGCTGAAATGCTATTTGTCATATATATATATATATATATTATGTACATTGAGTTTCGGACTAAATTTCGCTTGCGTAATCGGGGCTAGAGATGTTTATGTAGACAAAGAATCTGCAACATAAGTCAGAATTTACTTGACATAATTGTTTTGTAGGTAAATAAAAAGTTTCGAAGAATTCAGACCACAGATTGATAGAAATCCGTAATCTGACTAGCATTCACCAGAATGATTGACGTAATCGAATTGTAGCGTGTTCTCAAGGCAAGATGTAAGTTTCAAATGACAGCACAAAGCGAGGGGAGAATTAATCATCGAAAGCGATTTTTGACACGTCAAAATGTCGAACTGAGATTATTGGGGACCGTGGGAGCAATCTATCCCCTTGTTAATTTAAGTGCGTAAAATAACAAACAACCACCTTCGAAACACTTGTCCCCATTCCCTGCAGTTATTGTCGTTTTTATAATCAATTAGCTAATGTAGAATAATAATGTAATTCCTACATATTATTTCCGATAATAGTTACTGGTATTAAGCTGTTTTAGGTTAGCCGACTGTAACAGGTACACACTTGGCCATGTATAAATATCAACAATTATTTCGATCTTTAAATTTTGAGAAGGGTGAGATTTATAGTAATTTTATAAATTGCTCAAAAACAGAGTATGATAGAAAAAAGATATAAAAACAAAGCGAATAAATCCAAAAGACATTAGACGCAAATAATGCATTAAATGTTTTTTTTATTTATCGTGAGTCAAAGATAGTTTCGCTATTTAATTCGTCTATGATTTATACATAGATTTGTATCCACTTATTCTCTTTTGGTTCGCTTAGCATTTCATCCGAAACTTTTTGTGGTTGTATTATATATAACCAAGCTTAACAGTGTTGTGTTATCACGTATTATCCATTCAAGTGCTAGACACCAATAGTCATTTTATTGTCCACTCTTCTCATCAGAAGCATACGATAAAATCCCATACAGAATCTACAAAATGCTTAACAAAATCAACAGAAACATATTGACTAGCGTGAGACGAACGATCACGTAATATGGTGCAAAAATAACACTTGGAAAGAATTCGAATCGGCTTATGTGTGGCGAAAATTTCTCATCGCTATGTTATTTTGCTCAAGATGGAGATTTACGCTCTAATACTTGCGCAAGATTTTGTTTATTCTTGCGGCCACTTTCGAGTCAAAAACTGGCATCAACGTCTGTGATGACAATTGGTGGTCTTTGTCTTCGAACATGCGCAGAAAATTTTTTATTAGCTGAGATTGATCTATTTTCTATGCTAACAATTTTGCCACGGAATAATACTTAGCTTTTTTCAATCATATTTATATGATTAACTTTGAGAACCGTCTGAATTTAATTGCGAGTCGCTTACCAGTTGTAGTGGAAATTCGAGCGATCTGAAATTACACCCAATCCAAAATATCTTCCATCAATCTTGCAAATGGGGATTAAATATTATCACATTGTCATATGCCAATACTTACTACAATTTTATAAACCAACCACGAACCAAAATATAAGGTTTCGATGTCCATAAAGAGAATCGCCATATTCAACAATTCCGGAAAATACAGATATAAAGCAGCAAATAAGTACATCCATATACGACCACACAATTCAGGATAACTCTCAAATTTTCATCGAATTGAATCGAGCAAGTAAAAGTGGCTGAATGGGCAGGGGAAAACGAAAGCTCTGGATACGAATGCAGTTGGATTGTTCTTTCGTGTATTGTCGACACGTACCGTTTGTACCTTATTCCATAAGCGTTAGCCCCTATGTTCATGTATGAAACCTAATTTAAAAGACTTTGTTTAACAATAAGCATAGCAGCGAATTACGTAAAACTGTTTTTGCAGAAAAGACGTACGACAAACCTGGCCCACATGTGGAACATGTTTGGATGGCGAAATAAATAAAACGTTGTTCCAAACTTAATAAATATAAGACAAAATCATAACTGATTATGTTAAATAATAGTATATATATATATACGATATTTGTATTTAACCGAACCCTTTCCTGCACAAACTCCCCTATCTGTTTCCTTGCACGGTAAGCGACGACATAATGAATGGTTGTCCGTTTCCGTCCAGATGGCTTAAATATGACTGACTTCTGTGGTATAAGTTCTGCACCTCAGATATAAACACCTCATGTAGCTAGGACACTGTCGCTACCCGCATTCCATAGATAAATACATTAGTTACAATATCCATGTTCTACATTGTATCACTAACAAACAGTCGGCATAAACAGATGGGCCCACCTACTACCCAACTCCAATTTCCCCGCTCGTCGTAAAAAGCACTACCAAGAAATTCGATTTGAATACTAATGAACCCTACTATTGGTATCACAGTACTGATAACCGAACAATTAATTGGTTAGTTAAATATTTCAACAATTTTAGGCATCTCAAAACACGTTGTGATTAATTTGATTAAACAAAAGGATTGCTGACAATACACACAATGGTGTTACGCATTTCGACGCGAATGGAATTCAACTTCAAACGCACAGTCCGAATATGGCGACACCAAGCCACTCGACTTAGAATGTCTGAATCAAACACCACTGTTGTCGAATAAACGAATTTCCGTTAAATGATGTTGTACGCGAGATCGGAATATAATATAGAATGAGGCATTTGCCTATCCCTCTATAAGAACTTATACGAAAAGAGTAAATATCTGTCTACTGGCTCGTTAAACGAGGGCAATAATTTTTTCATTCGTGTATGTACATTTTCAACGCATGGCACTTGCGCAGGGAACTCAGTGAGAATATAGCTCCTGAAGTGTGCACACCAAGATGGCGGACACCGGAACGTAGTATGTGTACCAGATTAGGCCGTAATTTGAGGCACATATACTACGGGAGTCACTTGACTAGTCCCCGAACTCATAATAGAACTAATATATGAGAAATCGGAATAAAATTATGGTCTAACCCTAACCTTGTACACATACTACGTTTCGGCGCCCGCCATCTAGGTACGCATACCTCAGGAGTACCCAAACTTATACCTCTTGATAATCTCGACTAAATATGATCAATTAGGGGAAGGTGGGGCACGTTGGGACATGGGGCACAGTGGAAAATCAGCTCTCACACTGATACTATATCTGCAATCCTGTCCGCGGTTCGATGTTTTAATCCGCCCTTCGGTGAGTTACGACGTCCCCGCGAACGGGCAACGGACGGGTAGTGCGGCGCAAGCTATGAGGTGAAATTGGTTTTGGGAGGTTGAAACTAAAATTTCACCGTTCCAGTTTTTTCTTTTTTCTACTTTAGCCTTTCCAACATGACAAACCACCGTCTGATATTTTTCAGCTTTAGTCCACTGTAAAATATTCATAACGTTGGCGAGTGGATGTGCCTTCCGAATTTCGCCGTGGGATGGTCTGAAAATATTTGTTTCCTATGGGGAACAATGTACCGGGGTTCATTGGGACATTCCCCTACAGGGCACAATTCGAGAGTGTTTGATACAATAAGTGCTTAGAGACCTAGAGATGCGGTATATTTTGTGTAAGATTATGGTTTCTTTCGACCCATGGCCCAATATGGAATATATTCGAGAATTAATAATATTTCCACATTTAGATTCGAGGAGGGAAATAATCATATTTGTTTGCGAAATTTTTTGTCAAAATATCTGAGCTATTTCAATTGAACATTGATTTTAAAAATATTAAATCTTCAAATTTGAAGTCTCCCTGTTCTTTAGACGATTATGCTGATTAATTGCTTATTTTTAAAAGTAGACTTCGTTGAATTTCAACAAACTGACCCATTGTGCCCCAGGGTCTGTCCGAATGTGCCCCACAAGTGGGGTACAGTGGGACACTTGACAGACGTTTTTCAAAGCATTTTGGTAGTAAGATGTGTGTCGCAAGAGAATTTCTTAGTCGCTGAATAAAAACTACATTTACCCCTCTATGCATTCGTCCCGCCAACTTAAGTGAATATGCAGAATTAACGGCTCAAAATATGCAAAAGAAAAAGTGTCCCAACCTTCCCCTACCCCATAAGACACACCAGCAGTTCCGGCAACTCAAATAGATACCTTCCCGCTGAGCTATGGGATTGCAATACGGATTCTAGTCTAAATGCGAACTATCAGAAAACTCCTCGGGCTGATTTTAGCTCCAATTCCATGAATGAGTATCAATCTCTTTCGCACCCCTAATCCAATCCCACAAATTCAATAACAAGATTTTCCAGAACCGCAAAATAAGCAGCAAGTAGGAAATGAGAAAAGCTTTATTCAGTCACCGCAGTACTACACAATACTCACAATTGCAACAATGTACAAGTCGACTTTACATGATTTCGTAAAAGTTTGTTGGATCCTGATTTTTCCCTGCAAGAACTTTAACTTACAAAGCAATGTGTCAGGCACAGAAATAACATTGTAATACAGAAAACGTTTTACTGACTTTCCCGAATGGAAATTGAGAAAATGATCTGAAAAATGTTCGATTTACGAGAAGTAAAAAATGCCTCATGCGAGTGCAATCATAAAAATTCGTTTGGCTAGCGTTATGCTGTCAAGCACCCAATATGCTTTCGATTTCGACGACGAATGGCGAAATCTATATTCCCAATTCCTTTTTGTGCCACACCCACAGGTCATTTTTCCACTGTAAAAAAAGAAAATAAACAGTTAACAATGTCCAACTCATTCATTATGTCACAAAGTATCAAACATTCATTCAATTGAGTGATGCATTTTGAATTAGATCATGCATTACAACCATAACCGTATTTCACCGACCATAAGGCACACGGTCAATAAATTGCTTAGAGTTTTTATTCTTGATACATAAGGCGCATCGGGCTACAACACTCAACAGTACAACGGTTATCAAAGCAATAGTAAGCAATAGCGGTACTGGTTTTGACTGTAAGAAATAAAGCATAAATAAAGCTCCACCTGATCCATACATTAGGCGCACCGAGTTAAGTAAAAAAAAAGGTTTAAAGTGCACCTCATGGCCCGTAAATTACGCCATATATGGAATATAAGATTGAAAATGCTCTTATTAAGATTCTTTTAGGAACATTTCCTATTAAAGAAGAGCAATGCTCATATATATATATATATATAAGGACACAGCGGTCAAACAATTGGCCGCAGAACAGCAAATAAGACCAATATAGAAATCTATCTGATCATTCAAATCAATTCCACTCAGAGCAGGACTATCACAGCGTATAGCTAATCTCTTAGCGAAGCACCAGAAAAAGACAACTATTTCGACAGAATGGCACCTGCTGGCGCTTATACGAAAGAATAAAAAATATTGGATAGACATGAGACTCTGGAAAAAACCTGGAAGAAATAAATGTAAAAGCACTGTATCGCTCTATTCCATCCCCTGAGTTTTGGAAATTAGAAATTGGTTGGTCCAATAGCAAAAGGATCCATGAGTCCACTTTGTGTCAGATCATATTTGTGCTGAAGGAATCATTTGAATTAGACATAGGATTGTTCCCAACAAATTCAAATTTCTGTATTTAGCCTAAAAAAAAACTTACAGGAAAAACACAGAAAAATAAGAACTCACTGATTCATCAGTTACTTTGTATTGATTTCCGAGCCAGTTCAAAAACTTATCTTGTTTTCTTGGTTTTCCACCTGGACACTGAGTAATATAAAAAATAGGTTACAAATTTTCGCAGTCATACAATCTTAAGAAAATTTGTGAACTTAACTCTAATTCTTGAGATAATCTGAAATTTTCTGAAAATTTTACCAGAGAACATGAATGGTCTCCGAGATATAATCATGGATGTCCTGAACAAATCTAATATTCGAAGAGATTTGGAAATGGATATATTATGAAACAGTAAATTCTTGATCATACGAATATTTCGCCTATTATAATGGGTATTTGGCACCTGACGGACATACAAAATAAACCTTGACAATGTGAAAAATAAACCATTTCTCTTGCATATATGATTACAACTTAGAAACTTAGAAGCATAGACGATATATATATTCAACATTACTGAATTCAGTTTGTGAATTTACAATCATTCCTGTCAATATCTGTGTTAAACACGAGCAATTTTGATTATATTCAACGTTTTGATAATGTTTTCAGAATAGTAAACTATCTAATTTAGATATCCCTGGATAAAACATTATTATTATAAATAAGACATATCTAATTTAGATATGTATAGTACCACATTGTAAAGGTCATTTATAGAGTACCTTTTTAATTGCGGCCTTCACTTCATCAACGGAAGTAAACTTTATTTTTGCTGGAGTTTTCTTCTCACTCTGAAAAGAGAGGTCATGAGATGGATATAGTAGTCATACAACACGATATATATTTTAGGCAGGGTTGGACTGAGCACAATTTATTAAGCACTTACTTGGCAAGGCTAGAGGTGCTCTGGGAGAACCCCACTTAATATGGGATTTGCCATTTTGCCTGAAGTTTATTACAACTAGCAGTTAGCACTAATATACATTCAAAACCAATTTTGTATCAATCATTTGTAAAATGGGCCATCTTACTGAATCTATTCCTCTTTAGGTAAAATTCAAGCTTTTAAGGTATAATTAAGAGTGATTTTTTCCAGCTTGCAATTTGTGGAAAAATATCACTTTTTCACCAAAAATTCATAGTAGCGTATTTGTGAATTAAATTATTTGAAGCAAGGTTCGTCCTTTTATCTATAAACGTCGTTAAAAGCTAAATGTTGCAAGAAAATCTGAGTTCAGGTGGTTTGGGGTTGCACTGAAATGTAATAGGAGACATTTCGCGGTAATTCGACTTAACTGAAGTGTAAGACAATAATGAGAATAATGTAAACGAGTGCCACTGGGAAGCTGTCCATTTCATGTTAAGAAATGTGGAAACAGTTCCTGAGGACTTCAGGCATAAGTTGATAGATCCAATTGACGTCAATCGACTCTTCACAGCACAATGTTGAGACGTCTTAACAAGTTGTTGAAGTATTCTTGACGGATTCTTTGCAATTGTAAGTGTATCCCACACTAGACATTTGTCTATGTGAATTTGGCAACGAAACAAATGTGTTCACGCACGATGTTCCAATCGAAGTCAGATTATGGGAAAAGGATATACTCCTACCATGTTTGAACGATGAAAGATACAAAGAAAAATTCATATCACGGAGATAATATAAGAAATTGCAAAAAATAAAGAAAGTAAACCTTACAAGGTGAAAGATGATATGTTTAAAATGAACAGGATAATCTTCCTAAACACTATGCATCTGGAATACTACTTGTATCTGAGCAAGCTGTCGCAAACCCTCTCAAGACCTCACACAAGCCCCTAACTTGCGTCACAGCATACATAAAAAGGGATACTTTTCTACTGAGTGCATATTTAAGAGCATAACTATTTGAAAATCGAGTAGAAGGGCAGGAAAAATCATTGCAGTCAGCTTAAGTTACTATGAGTTCAAGCTAATCTCATACTCAGCTACCCGCAAAAAGCTTACATTCAGGTGAGGGCATCCTTTCAGTTAAAAGAAAACCGCAAGCACAATTCACATAAAGGCAATGTTGTTAATGAAGTGGCAAAAGTACTTTTCGAGTGCTGATAAGTTGACAGGGACAAATGAGCTCAATATGGTGATAAAGTTCATTGTGATGAAGCTAATTTCAATGTAAAGATGTATCAAAAATCGAAATAAAGAGTCCACAGCAAGAAAACTATTGTAAGGCAATAGAAGGGTATACAAGATCCAGAACCCTTTTTGTCACGTTTAAATTTGGAGCTTGCAATCACAGTTATACTGGAACGAGACAATTATGGTTTCAAAAAAGCACCAAACCAAGTATCTTTTGCATTACTGGGCACTGTGTGCCAACTCAAGGAACAAGCTTCGTGTGCAGGCTGCTAGTTATACCAGTCGCATACATATTCTACACTGCCCCTCACTAGTTGAAATAGCTTTATCTTAACAAGATGATATTTCTTATATATAAAATAAGTTTCGTTTTCAGCTGTCAGTTATCGGTAACTTCGAAAGTACTATTCTCCAGCGAACACTGGGACTGCCATTGGAGAAGGTCACAGCTGATAATTCTTAAGGCATATTATCAATTGGAAGACTACATGACATACAAGTGGAGTCCAACACCTTTAATTTGGATCTTGTTCACAAAGATATAAAAGTTTTATTCTAACCAATGTAGCATTTCTAATCACATTGGACTGTGATGATTAAATGGAAGGCCGCCAGGGCCTGCAAAGCCAAAAAATAATCGATCACTTGAGTCCCAGGAAGATCTTAGATTCGTTCAGAGATGCATTTTGAAATTGTCCAATAGGTGTGCGAATTCGTTGTCCTATTCACAGCCAATGATTGCACAACAAACTTTCTAGGATGCTAGCTGTTAAAGATGTGTGTTTAGGATGCTGTGCGAAGTACTTTACTTCTAATGCAATAGCAATTTCTTATAAAATGTTCAATATGAAGGAGAGAAATTGATTTGGTGGCCAGAATTACTGTCAAATCCCATTATCAGAATGTATTTGAGAAACAAAAACCTGGGCATTGTTAACAACAGGCATGCCAGCATCTTCATGCAATATCATTATGTTGCTATTTATGAACAGTATCCTGACGATCGCCTGATTCAAGCATGGTGGATGGTCTAATGTTCATTAAGCACAGACTGCATCTGTTGTATTGGGGTAGGGTGAGACAAATGACAGCAATAACATTTGAAAAGAACATTCATTTGTGAATATACTGCTGTTAGTCGATTGTGTTTAATTGCTGCATTTTCTGAGCACTTCGGTGTGATTTCATAAAAAAAAACTGGAGTGAATATGGTCGAATGTGGCCCACACTATGTAATATATAAATAAATATAAAAATAATTACTTTTGGTGTTTTGACCGATGTGTTTTTTTGTGAGACTGGAGTTTTCTGCTCTTGACTGTTCTTTTTTGTTCTTTCCGGTGATGTCAACTTATTCTCTGTAGTGGCAGATTTGCCATTGGTCAGTTTTCTCTAAAATAAAGCAGAGAGATTTGTTCATAAGTATCCTATCAGTACAATCATCAGCAAAAACATTGGTATTGTTTTATAATATCATATTAGCTCGCTCGTTCGAGTTTGGAAATAAATTCATTACGAATAAACAATGGTGCAACATATTTTGTGCAGCAAGATTCAACACATAACATAATAAGACTACTTTACAATAAGATAGGATTTCCAATTAACTCTTTTGTTCCGTATGACGAATATATTCGTATTACCATCCTTGGTCATAATAGTTATTTTCGGACTATTTTACGTTTATGTTCATGTTTTGTGAAGTATTCCGCACTAACTAAATCATTTTGAGCATCCAACTATGATCCGTGCTTGATCTGTCAACATTTTTTTTTTTTGTAAATTTTTTATTTTACTACTAAGTGAATTTTATTTATGTAGGTATTTCAAAGCTTAGAGATACACGAAAGTATTTGTCATTACTTCAAAAAATAAGTCATTTGAACGAGCGGGAAACAATTTCGCGCACATAATAAACAAACAAAGATTCCAGACAACTATCGTGGACATGCTCTCACATATCATTTGATTATTTCGCGTTTCGCTTCGCTTGCGAATCTGAGTCTGGTTTTTCTGCAAAGGTGACGTAACGCTCTTTCAGAAGAGCGCTTGGAATTTCGTTTCTTTGTAACACGTGTTCATCGAAGCGATAAGAGTGTGAAATGTTCTCTCAAAATTTTTTGAAATTTCTCTCTTCTTACCGGTGTAGGGTCGAACTGTTTGTGCCTACGTCATTTGGACGCGTTTTAGTAGGAAGACGCGAAAATAAGCTTTTTAAAGAGATATTGGGCGTGTTCCTTGTACGTTTGGTTAACTGGTCATTACATATTATAAAATGGTACAAAAAGTCGATTGTATACAGCGGAAAAAAAGGGTTAACATATTTATCCCGGGGAGAGGAAAGTCGATAAGACGGCTTAATCATATGAAGGCGAACCACAGCCCCTGGTCCGGTCACCAGTCCATGTAGGGTATGGGACTAGTCAGTCAGTGATTTGTTTTTGGAAGCACGGATTTGATGGTGAAGAAAGCCGCAACTGACCAGCAATTATGCGAACGGCGAACTGCGGCGGGCGTATCCTTAATGCTTAGCACGATTATAGAATATTCATATATTACAGATGAGTTTCTGAAGATTATTTATGAAACAAAGTCGCAGATGTAACTTTTAAATGCAGCCATGGGTCCACAAATAAACTTTTAATAAACATTTTTGTGTGGGAATCGGCAGTTGCTCCCCTGAAAAACTTTTAAAATGATACCAAGGATGTTGTATTATCAAAAGTTGCACCAGATTAACATATTTTCAGCTATCAAACCTTTTTCGTCGGTACTTTTACTTGCTCTTTTTCCTCCTCGTCAGACCTAGAAATAATAAAATTTAGTTAATGAAAAATGAGTCTATGTTGACTCCCATAATAACCAAACAGGCATATTTTAGTTCATTCTCTCACGACTACTCTGAATTGAATAACTAGGCAGCACATAGTGGTTAAATTTTAATTTTACAATACTGATCACAAATTTTTATTATATTTATTCAAAATTCTCAATTAGATCTATTTTTTTATATTAAGAATTTATTTTTTTATGGAATACATTGATTTGGAACTCACTCATCGTCATCATCCATATCTTCATAGTCATCATCACTGAAAAACAAAAACAACTTTCTAAGTCTATCTAACAAAATAAGTACTACTGGGCATAAAAGTTCTATAAATACTTCTGTCTATGGAAGGCATTAAAGTTCTGCCAAAAATGTGATCCAACTTCTACATTTAATGTTGAGTCCGCCCACAGTAGCAAAAGAAGTCTTTCAATAGAGACAAAGTTGTAAAACAGCAAGTCTCTGCCACTAAACCTTTGGCCCGCGGGCCGAATGCGGCCCTAAAGGGCAAATTGTGTGGCCTGAGGAGAAATGCTCCGCAACACGAGATTTTTATCTATTTGCGATGTAATTCCAATTCCTTTGCGAAGCCTATTCACGACTATAATTTATTATCTATGCCTATGACTTTACAATGTTTTAATAGCTAGCTTGTGCAAACAACACATGTCACAAGATCAATAACCAATATTTTTGTGCCTGCAACTACTAGATAGCCTATGTTAAAGAAAGGTGCAGTCGTGTTTCCACTAGAGGTATTTCTATATGGCCTGTATTAATTAAGGGTTGCACAAAATCAGCACTAAATCAGCTGTCAACAGACTGATAACCAATTGTTTTAAACACTCATTTCAGAGGTGAAGATGAAAAAAAGACTTTAAAATGTTCCCCAATAAAATACCCCAAATTTTGAAACCATCAGATTCAGGAGTTAAATTTCTGACTTATAAGGTAGTAAATCGGGAGTTGAGAACCGGCCAAAAAATCAGAGCATTCCTGACAGACAATGAAAACGTAGTCGCATATGTCAATGCTTTTGTGATCAAAAAATATTTGAGAGCTGGAATGTAAGTCAAAACTCCCTCCAACGTGTAGTTGAGAGTCAAAACTTTTTGTGAACCAAGACTCCAAGAGTCCCGAGTTATTTTTTCCATTTATTAAAATTGGAGTCTGTTGAAATTTTCTCAGCAGCCTCAATGTCTCAATTTCATAGTAACTCACTCTGCATCCTCGTCTTCATCGTCATCATCTGCCAATTTTGATTCCTGTTAATGTAAGTATATTGAATGTAATGAATAAATCTTAAGAAGATGATGTCAAAACAGAATATGTCCAAGGCACATCTTCCGGTGCACATACTACAAGAGTACCCTTTTTTATGAAATTGAAGATAAAGTAAAACAGAGGCATTCAATTGGAAAATTGAATTCTTACCATTTTGATAAAGCCATTTTCTTCTTCATCTTCATCACTAAAAATAACATTACCATATATAATCAGAACCAAAAAGTTTCATTTGTAAGATAGTGGTCATTGAAAAGTAAAATTTCTTGAAACATTTATGCGGTACAAAACGAAACTGTATACATATAATAATTAATAAATGCCTGCCTTTCCAGGCTACATTTTAAAAACAAAAATATTAATATAAGACGCTATACGCAAATATTAAAAATTCTTGTAGACGTGGACTACTAACTGGCTTTGAGTATGCAGTACAAAGACATGAAATAGTAAGAGCGGATAGTATGCTCTTACTTCTATACTTACGCTCGCGCAAGTACATATTCCCAGATTCTGTACGGTTCCATTACATTTGAACCCGTGTACATTTGAACTCACGTACATTTGAACCACGTACATCTGAACCCGCGACAATTGCACCTGCGTACTATTGCACCTATGGAATTTTTTTTGTTTTACGGATATTTGAACCCATACTAACCCTAACCCATGGGTTTTAGCACCCGCACATAGATTGAACCCGCGGATATACGCATGGATGTACGGTCACCATTCTGTACATGATATGAAATTATCCAAAATCATTTACTACTGGCTGTTGGTGTTAGTGACTGTTAAAAATTATCCATGGGTGAAAAACCTAAGAATCTTACTCATCATCCTCCTCTTCATCGTCATCCAACTCATCTGCTTTCTTCGATTGTTTTTTCGATTTTGAGCTCGCTGCATCTCCCTAACAAAATATATGTGTATAATAAGAGTAAAAAGGAACAGACAGAATGTTAAATTGGATGTCGAGACATATTTTAATTTGGTATTGGGTAACTTGAATTACTTCGAACCAGAATTTTTAACCTAATACAGATAGTGGCTTAGATTAGGTGCATATGCAAACTGGAAACACATGTTGAGTTGATAGGATTTACATATTTATCCTGCGGGAGAGGAAAGTCGATAGGACAGCTTAATCATATGGAGAACCACGGCCTCTCGTCTGGTTACCAGTCCATGTCAGGTGTGGGTTTAGTTAGCCAGTTATTTGTTTCAAATGCATGGACTTGATGGAGGAGGAAGTCGTAACCGACCTGCGGTTACATGAACCATCCTATGGCGGCGAGAAGTCCAGCAATTCTTTCGCACCTAATTATCCCCCACATGATTTGAATCTCACGCAACCCAAGCAGGTAATTCCTGACAAGTACTTGAGATTTGAATTTCAATGAGCCCGTTACCTTCTAGGTACTTGAAGATGTGAACTTGCCATAGTTATACCCACCTTTCCACCTGCCATCTTCGCTTTCAGTTTTTCTCTCAAATCTTCCATTGATTCTTCAAAGTCGGACAAATCTTCATCGTCTTCATCAGACAGATCATCCTCATACTGTCAAACATTTTTATGTTATATTCAGATAAATTATGTATTTATCCCATTTATTAGGTACGGTAGGAGAAACCACCCATCAAAGATATCCCAAGTAAGTTCCTCCCCGGCATCTATCTTACGTTCAAGCTTTTGCTTAACATCAACACTTTTACAATTATTATACAAATTATATCTCTGATATTGTGAAATATCTGATAGATACAGAAATATAGATAAATATAGAAACCTTCAACTCAACATAAAATATAACAAATACAGTTTTATGCATAAGTCATCAAAACCATAGTTTCAAATCTCTATGACAATTCCTCAAATGAGCAACAGAAAACGGCAATTTTTAGCAAATATGTCATTCCTGCATTTTTATCTGAAAAATTTTATTTCGTGATTTTATACAATGAATACTTATTGAACTAATTTGTATATCCTTTTCAAGTTTCATAATAATTTTTGATGATACCGTTCCAATATTTGACTTTCTAACACATGGAAAATTGCAAATAGGGTGAATGTTTTACGAGGTAAGCCTAAAAGAAACGGGACTTGAACGTCACATATTGCACACACGATTAACCACGGTAATCAACACTTTTGCAGTGTGGCGTAATATGTGTTCTTTGTTTAATAACAGCTGTTTTGACACAATATCGCAATTATTTTTGCTTTTCAGGATCCATAAGTGAATGTGATAAATTTCATGTTGGAAAAAAATGCTGTGCGAGGTCTGATTGAGTTTTTTTGGCGATAGGGGGTTCAAATTAAAGAATGACGACTGATCAAAGAATTAACATTAAATTTTGTGTCAAACTTGGAAAAACGGCGACTGAGACTTTGCAGATGTTGCGTGATGTTTATGGAGATTCTTCCATGTCCAGAACAAGAGTTTTTTGAATGGCACAAGCGATTTGTGGAAGGCGGGGAGGATGTGGAGGATGAATCCGAGGTCAGGGAGGCCTTGCACTTCACTACTGATACCAACATCGAAAAGGTTTGGCAGTTGGTTCGCAGTGACCGTCGCTTAACAATTCGCGTCATTGCCAACTGAAATGGGATGGACAAGAAACGTCCGCACCATTTTGGTTGACACTTTGGGAATGCGAAAGGTGTGTGCCAAAATGATGCCAAGGCTCTTGAGTTGACTGAGGAGCAGAAAGCTCAACGATTGAATGCATGCCGAGTTGACATGCATTTTTCCAAGTTTGACAAAAAAATTTAATGTTAATTCTTTGCTCAATCGTCATTCTGCAATTGAACCCCCTATCGCCAAAAAAACTCAATCAGACCTCGCACAGCATTTTTTTCAACAAGAAATTTATCACATTCACTTATGGATCCTGAAAAGCACAAATAATTGCGATATTGTGTCAAAATAGCTGTTAAACAAAGAACACATATTACGCCACACTGCAAAAGTGTTGATTACCGATGGTTAATCGTGTTGCGCAATCTGTGACGTCAGTCCCGGTTTCATTTTAGCCGGCACCTCGTAGGTCTGGACAATTAAGCATTGTCTATAGAGTCTTAAGTGAAAATGATAAAACTGATGTAAAAATCTCTTACCATAATCAGATGACTGGCGACAATATTAACCGGCCCGCTACCTATAAACAAAAATGTTTTGTGTTAGCCATGAAAAAAACATTCAATGCATATAAAGGTATAAACAAATAGACGGCTTTTAAACAGTTTGTTATCAACAAAGTAGAAGATGATGTAAAAATTTAAATTCAGTGTAGGGCAATATCACTTTGTGAATTGTGATATTTAATAATATGTAAGCTAGACTAAATTGTTATGAGTTTAACTTTGATTAATTAGTAAGTTACTCACCTTCAACAAGAGTAAAATTAGCTGGAGGAAATAAAGGTAAATCTCCCAGTGTACGATTCTCATCTTTTCCAGCAGTTAATGCACAAACGATAGCTTTTATTTTATTTTGTTCACTGTCAAATGTTGTTACTTCAACTAAATTTCTTCCATCTTTAGCTCCTGGACCCAAAACAGCCTGAGAAAGAATGAAGAACTTTAAATGAGACAAGAGTAGGGATGGGCAATATAGAATACCGAATCCGGAGGATTCGAATCCCAAAGTATTCGAATCCAACGGGATCCGATATCAGGATTCGGTTTCCGCCTTTCCGGCGCCAAGCGTCAATTTTTGTATTTCGGGTTTCTAATTTATCAATTAAAGACGAGCGTTTTTTCTCGCGTAGATATCGCACGAGCGTTTTTTCTCGCGTGGAAATCTCTCTCGTTTAATATTACTTGCGTCTGCTCATAAAGTCGGTAAACATCAGACACTGTAATCTCAAGCGGCATATTCAGAACAAGAAGTCGGCGAAGTACACCTCACGGCGAAGATTACTTGTTATTGCAACATTTTTGCGTTTTACTGATTTGCTCTAGTGTATAGCTAACGTATAATATTAATAATTATTTGTGCCGACTTACTAGCGATATTCCGATAATCTGATTGCAACAATCTTTAATTGTTTACAGACGTGCCTTGCTTCATTTTACATTAAATGATATCTCGCGACTTGCGAGTTTTCCCAAAAAATGATGCATGTAAACCAAAAGCCAGGCGTTAAATGTTATAACATTGCTTGCGATTAATTTAGATCTAATATTATTTACGAATAATTTTATTACACCATTTCCGAAATACAAAGTAATATCGCAATACGCGCAAATCTGTCACATTTAAATTCCACTCTCAAAACATTACATTTCTTTCGGTCCTTTCCTATCGTTCAAGATAGACGCACGTTTGATCGATCGTCTGTAGTATTTTAGTCGCTGATAAATTAAAAAAAAAGTTGCCGCATCTAGCGTAGATAATGACGTATTGAGTTAGATTAGGGCCAAGTCTGTGTAGATAATATTCTGTAACGATAATCATAGAATATGAATTCGTCTTCAGATGTTATCACCTAATAACTAAGTACGCAATAACTAAGTACACCATTTTCCGAAATACAAAGTTATATCGCAATACGCGAAAATCTGTCACATTTGAATATCACTCTCAAATGATTACCGGTACATATTTTTCGGTCCGTTCCTATCGTTCAAGATAGACGCACGTTTGATCGAGTGTCTGTAGTATTTTAGTCGCCGATAAATTTAAACAAAAAGTTGCCGCATCTGGCGAAGATAGTGACGTATTAGGTTTAAGTAGGGCCAAGTCTGGGTAGATAATGATAATCATAGAAAAGGAGTTAGTCTTTAGATGTTATTACCTAATAACTAAGTACGAAATCGCGTTTACGGGAACTTGGTTTTACGAGTCTTGCTAGCACAGAATAAAAAATTGATTTTAATATAATATAGTGGTTAAATTTAATATTTCACAACGGCCGCATAGGTTGCAGTGGCCACATGCTGGTCCTGCATCTAATTAATTATCAGCGGGTGTGTTTTAGTAATCTCGACAGACTAACATTGAAAATGATTTAACGCCGTTTCATATCTATTTTTGTATTTAACCGCTTAATATTAAAGTGTGTAAAGCTTGTCTTAATTTAGCATTTCAGTATTTAGGGATTACATACATTTGGAACAATTGAAGGCAAAAAATATTGTAATTTTCCTAAATTTTATTGTCCTGGGAAATGCCTGTTTAATATGAAATGAAAACAAATGTTCAGGACATTTCCAAATAAAAAATAAATTCATAGTAATACATTTACAATTGTGGAAATTCCCACTATTTGAATAAGTATGAAAATAGAATAGGATTCGGTATTCTGGATTCGATTTAACTATTCTAGAATATTCTAGAATAGTAAATTATTCTATATTGCCCATCCCTAGACAAGAGCATATCACGAGAAAAATATCACACACAATCTGCCAATGCCCAAGTACATCCGTTCAGTGTGAAAGAGAACCTAAAATTAATTAAAATGGTATATTGAACTGCTGTTTGTAAAAGCATTTATTGAAGGTATGCAGTCCTTATGCACAAGCAACGGAATAGAGGTAATATTCATGAGTATGCTGTATTTGATGACGTATTCTGGGTATAAATATGCATCAACTTCAGAGGAATGTTATTAAAGTGAACATATGAAAAGGGATTCATTCCAAACTGATGACACCATTCCTTCAATTCAGGTATTACAGTGTGACAAAAATGCTTGCTTATAAAAATGTTTTCGCATAATCAAAATATTAGCCATCTTCATATGAAATCTTGTTAGGAGCCAAGTCACAATACTTTTTCTCAGGCCATTTTGCATTGTTTACCAGTTACCACCAATCATGTTGTGCCGGTTCTCCATGAAACCACACATTAGTCCAAATCCTCTAATGATTCATGAAATAACAGTTCAACATAGCAAACTTTGTACAGGCATTCGACTTGGCGATTCTAAAATTAACTTCTTGTGGGGGGATCAATTTTAAAGTTGTATACTTAGCTTTGTAGCGTCTTGACCAGAAGTAAAGATAGTATACAAAGAAAGGTATGTTATGTCATAAAATATACATGGCAGGCAAAATTCTCTAATTACATTCAAATATTTTTGGTATTTTATTTTCAGAGTATTTTCAATCTAGCAAATATTAAAAAGGAAGCTGGTCCATAAGTTAGATTATGACAGTATAGGGTAATTTTTTATTCTTTCTAATCTTTGTCACTGGACATTTAATAACATTTCGTAATTACTGTTTTATTAACAGACGCACGTATTACATTAAGTTCCTGCTGAGGGCCACATGCTGACATGTTTCAATATGATCATCAGTCTGGAATATTTTGATAAAAATATGTCTACATTACATCACATCACATTATTTCACAATTTGGATGATAGTACAAATAATAAGCAAAGCAAAAATAAATAATCTCACCAATTTCAAGATTATTTGTTCTAGAGCACCATCTTTTCTTCCACCCCAACTTACTGTTTTATTTTCTTTGCTCAATTTGGCAACTGAAAAAAAGTAAGAATAACCATATAGCCTACTGATATGAATTAGCACACTTCTGCACTTACAGTCTTATAAAGTCTGAAAGTCAGACAGAAGAGGTGTTTTTTTATATTTATATTAAACAGTTTGAATGCCTGAATACTGAAATAGTTGATGAAGTACCGTAATTTTATTTATTCATTCTAGCATTTACTCAAATTCATATTCTACAACGGGTGCCTAAAACTACAGAACTAATATTATTAATTGGCAACTTTGTCTGTACGTTTCAAACCTTACTCTAGGTTTTGTTCACTTTCCCGATTCTATAATCAGTTACTTTTACTTTTGTTTTTATCTATTTTTTTATCGTCTATTGCTGATTATGGAGTCGAAATAAACTTATACTTTTGCATATAATTTTCTTAGAAATATTACGGAAACAGTACGAAAATAAGCTTACTTAATACAGTACCGGTACTGCAATACTGATATACCGTACCGGTACTGCAATACTAACCACTAGATACCAAACAGAAAAATGCTGCAAAACAGCAAAATGATCGACTTACTGACTTAGTCTAGTCTACTTACCCCACACGAACTCCTTAGTTTTGGTTTCCATTACGCAGATAAGTTGGCAGGAATACACAAAATAAAGTACGTAAACACTCAGTAGAGATCAACACCCTGCAGACAATCTTCTAAGACTGTAAGATCAAGAAATGTGACGATCCCAACAAACGTTTTCAGCGCGATGCATGCAGCGTGCAACAATTTACCAACATGTGTGTTCCCATTAACATGTGGTTCATGAAATAGAGGTGGGAGGAGTCGAAATGAAAGGTTATTCAATTATGATCAAAACCAATCAAGTTGTTTGTGAGAAATATTTAGAATATGATACAATTTATTGGACACGTTAGTGAACATAACGATCGTTTCAATATTATATTGTTGTTGTTGTTCTTTGACACTTTTTGAGCACATCGGGTGGAAAACCTAAAAAATCGCTTCTCTCTTTGATTACAGGCCAATGGACCTTTCCCCGACCTTTGACCCTAGAATAATTTCAACTCCACTTTGCCATTGCAAAATTTTCGGGGCTTATTTTGAGAATGGTTTCGCGAGTTGGCACCTGTAATATGGGGTATTTGTTTCAAACCATCATTATAATTCATTGCATAAGACAATCTGTTTTTTAAAAGTACCGGTAAAGAATTTTAGCCCAGTTTATCACCGCTATTTTTACACCAGTTTTTCATTACTGCAATTAAACTAGATCTCCTAAGAAGACAAAGTGAACATTGAATTATCTGATTCATATTCAAATTTCCGAAACACAACTGAAAACCAACGAATAGAGTTAAAAAATGCGAAAACGAGGTAATGTTTACGCGTAAATATATACTACTACGTTTACGACCTCGCCCGAAAATCTGTCTGCGTGGATGCGAAAAGGGAGCATTGTTACGTCACGTTTTGCGTATTGCTGATTAGCTAATGTCGCGAGGTAAACAAAGAAGTCGATGCTCGGGGAAAGGTCCATTTCTCTGAAATTTTCAGTGGTTAAATACAAAATTTTGCTTTAGAAGGCTATTACTTTCATTTATTTCAAATATTCCTGATAGCACTGTGGGATTCGTTTTTTTTGACACATAAAGGATTTGTTTTTATGCCGGCACTCTTCTTGTTGTTCTTTTGATCACGTGCTCATCGAACGTCGGTGGTGTGTAACGAAATTCTTGTTTTGCTAAGATTTGTTAATGGGGAATGGCGAACAGCGCCGTAGGTACCGGTAGCGTCAAAGGTAAGGACTGCTTCGCTCTGATTAACGTGTCCATATATTTGAACAATGCTCTTTTGTTCTTTAATTTTAATAAATATAAAATTCATATAAGAATTGTTTCTATAGAACAGGTATAATGTAAAGATACTGAACATGAGTTTAGATTCGAAACTAGCTGTAGTGTATTCTGCCTTTAGATCTTTATAAACAAGCACCAAGTTTCCATTGCAACACTACTTTATTGTAAGAGTCATGTACTTCGAAATTAAGACACGTAAGACACCATAGCAGTAACAGACAAAACAGCAAGTCCGCACTTAACACGTGCACAGATGGAACAACAATGACAGCCTCGGATATACAAGGTCAAATCAGTCTGGGTCAACATTTTGCTTTTATTGGACACGTAGTGGACATAACGATCGTTTCAAAATTTTGTTGTTATTGTTATTATTCATCTCCATCATTTTTTTTTTAAATCGCTTTTCTCTTTGACTACTGGACCAATTGCTTTGAAATTTTCAGTGAGTAAGGATTGATTTTTTTGCCAGAAGGCTATTACTTTTATTTATTTCTAAATTTCGCATGAAATCTGATATTCCGTCTAAAATTTCGCTGTATTATTTTATCCATGGGAACACTGGCTGTCCGGTTTGATTCTGTAAATTATTTCTACGCAAAACTCGGAATTATTTGTGGGTACCGGTGGCGTCAAAGGTAAATACTGCTTAGCTCTGGTTAACGTGTCTATATATTTGAGCACAGCTCTTTTGTTGTTAATGCAGAAGGTATTCACCCTTCTCCGAAAAATATTTAAGCAATAATGGAAATCCTTAGCCCTGAAAATGTAAAAGAATTGCAATATTTTCTTGGTATTGTAAATTATTATCGTAATTTTATTCCTGCAATGTCTACCCTTGTTGATCCTTTCAATGAGTTACTGAAAAAAGGGTATGAAATGGAATTGGAATAGTGACTGCTGTAAAAAAGCTTTTGTTAAACTGAAAGATATATTGGTGTCATCTGAAGTGCTAGTACACTATGACCCTGAAAAAACTTCAGTACATGCCACTGCCACCTTTAGTATTCCCAACAATGGGAATGCAGATGCATTATCCCGATTGCCCATGAAAACAGATCAGTCTGAAATACGTGATTATTGGGAAGAAGATGCAACGATTATGAACATTCGCCAAGTTCATACCCTTCCCATAACTCCTGCAAAGCTCCGCCATGCAACTGAAAGAATCCAAAGCTCTCACGAGTGTTGCTGTATACTATGAATAGTTGGCCTGCAAAGGAGGAAAATACAAATAAATTGTTTCCATTCCACAGGAGGAAGGACGAAATCACTGTGGAAGAAGGAATATTGCTGTTGGGAATAGGAGTTATTATTCCTGAAAAGTATATTGCAGAAGTACTAGATGAACTGCATGAAAATCATCCTGGTATGGTTCGGATGAAATCATTAGTCAGATTGCATGTTTGGTTTTCGAATATTGATGAAAGAATTGAACAGAAAGTGAGAGATTGTTCAAATTGTCAGGAAGTGAGAAGTCCTGCGAATAAAACGCCTGGAAATCCGTGGATATGGCCTACGAAGCCATGGCAAAGAATTCATATTGACTATGCTGTTCCAATAATAAATGAAAACTTTCTGGTGGTAGTCGATGCTCATTCTAAATTACCTGAAGTGTTGAGAATGTCTTCAACTACTTCTGAAAAGACTGTTGATGCATTGAGATATTTATTTTCGAAATATGGACTACCTGAATTATTGGTAAGCAACAATGACAGCCTCGGATATGCAAGGTCAAATCAGTCTGGGTCAATAGCGTCACCTAGCAGTATTACATCTTATAACAAGAGAGCTACGCCCAATTATATGAACACGTCTGTTCGCAGTACAGTACGGTTTACCGTACCGTCAGATCACAGTCTACAAATATATTCACACCAAGCGAAGCAGTACAGTAGGACACAAAATGGCGTCCGATGTCCGCAGAACGTTCGGTGACGTCATAGCAAACAAAAACAAATCTCACAGAGCTAACAGATATATTTGAAATAAATAAAAGTAATAGCCTTCTTGAGAAAAATTTCATCTTTAGCCACTGAAAATTTCAAAGCAATTAGTCCAGTGATCAAAGAGAAAAGCGGTTTTTTAATATTTCCACTAGGTGTCCAAAAAGTGTCAAAGAACAGCAAGAACAACAAAACGATCGTTATGTCCACTAAACGTGTCCAATAAACAACACTAGCATTCTGGTATTGGCGGTGAGTACCATATCAATTTGAGGATTAATCAGCTAACATCGCTTACTAAAGACCTAGGCCGTGAGACGAGGCCCTGAAAAACGCAACGACACAGCATGAAAAATTGCGTTCATTCTATAGAAGCCATCGAACGCATCAATTTTTTTTCGATGAAGTCACAAATTGACACCGTAGGCACAAAAACAAAAGTAAATCGGTTGAAATCCTGATGCAAAATTGGGGATTCCCCGGAAATTGATATAGGAAATTCATAGGTTTACAACAACACAGCATAATAACTATGCAATTTCTGGAGCCCTGCTGCACACTAACACAAATATATTTCTGTTTCGTCTGACCAAAATCCGACTTCCTCAGACAAGCAGTTCACAGCAAAGAACAGCATAAGAAGTTGCCTTTATTTTATTGAAGCTATCAAACGCATTTATTTTTAGGCACTGAAGTCACAAATTAACATGGTGGACACAAAAACACAATTTAACCAGCTATTTCTCAGTGAGAAATTTATCGAAAAAATCAAGAAAATTATATGAATACAGTATGTTCATAACATAGTAAACAGAAACTAATGTTTAATTAGTCTTCTTTCAGTTTGTGTGGTCGTGTATTTGAAAAAAGGCAATAGTAATCATAAAAACAAGACTTTCGGTATAACAGACGTCTAAAAAAAACTATTAAATGACATTTATTGAATTGATTACAATATCCAATTCAATTTCCTATGCATTGCTCCCAAAATCCTCATTCTCGAAAATCGAATAAATGTACTGTAGTTTTTGCACTCGATACAAGAACAAAAGTCTGTGCAATTTAGGTTGTTTTTGGCATACATGCATAAATTATTTTGACAACTGATTTGGGGCCTGGAAGTGAATCCATCAATTTAACTCGCAAATCACCATCATCAAAAACCCATCCATGGTCAATAGGTGGGGGATCAATTGGCTTTGGTTCTAGGTAACAGTGATGAATTCCTGCCTGGTAATTTGCCCTCGGAACCTGCTTCTTTGGTGAATCATTGTTGAGTGGAAGAGTATAATCCATATGTTTGCCAGCTTTAAAACGACGTGCCCTTATATCATTCACATTCTCCATATTCTCTTCATACAGTGAACGAGAAAATTCCCCAGTTTTATTTATAAGTGCCTCGTTAACCTCAAAAGATATCCATAGTTGAGAAAAAAAAACTCAATAAATTTCAAGTCCTCCAGCATCATTATGATGGACAGCCCTAAGTGCAGAAAAATGCTAAAGTGTTTCAATACGAATAGCTCATCTAAGTTGTTTGCAACCGTTATGACCCTCATATATACCTTTACGTGTTTCTTCGAGACTTCCTTCTTTGATCCATTCTATTCTTACAGATATAGCGCAGATAGAAGCAGCGACGATAGCCTGCGTTAAGTTAAATTGGTAGAACATTGCCGTTTTCTTTTGTAGTACAGTTTCTAAAATGAAGACTTCTTATACAAAATGCATATTATCTGATGTACTACAGTCCTGCAGTGTTTGCATACTAGACTATATTTACACTGATCTAGATATATCACACTGTTTGAAATGTCCGTCCCGTATTTTTTAAAACATCAACTGTCAGCCTACAAGTTGATACATAATTTCTCACCCCCCCAATCGCTTCATTTCTTTCAACTCCTGCATGACGTATCATTGCTGCCTAGGTTTCTTGTCGACATGAATGAATTTGGACCAATTGACATCAGTAAACTCGGTTACTTTTCC